GTCATACAAGTTCTGCGTGCTGGCAAAATGGTTTTGTGTGTTGACAACCTTAAAAGCACATTGATATGCTAAACCTTGCCTCCAAGCTCCCTCTTCGTGAGCCCCTACAGGGGTCCATGTCCACTGAAGGAATTGCCTCGTTGGGGGACAACCGTGTGAAAATCTTGAAGCGTGCCAGAACACGATTCCCCGGGATTCAACTCCACGAGTTTTCCAGACTGTTGCGTCGTGGCGATCCTGAACCGTGCCAGAGCACCATTCTTGGGACTTCAACACCGCGAACCAACGGACCTGTTGCGCCCTGACAAGCCTCAATCGCTCCCAAGCACCATCTCAAGTAAGTTAACCATGAGAATCAGTGAAGCTCTTGCGAATTTTTGAAGTTAATGTGCGCGGCGCTAAGGCGAGAGCCACATGTTCAAAAGGAACCGCCTTCATTCCAGGAAGCTCCTGCAAATTTTGAACATGAATCTGCGCGGCGCTTAGGCGAGAGCCACATGTTCAAAAGAAGCCGCCTTCAATCCATAATCCGCATTACCATCAGCACATCAAAACGCCGACAGCCACGACCATCATCCCACCTCATCGCCCCATGCATCGCGACATCTTCTTCACCGCATCCGACACCCGACTCCGACGCTACATCTTCCACAGACGACGTAGATAGCGATCCACCTGTGACCGGCGACAACCACGCCCACGAGGTCACACAACTTGAAGAACACATCGCCGACAACAGCGACGACCTCGAGCGATGGGTCGACGTTGTGCGCCGAGGAATTCACCGTGCGACACATTTCATGCAGCATCACAACGTGGATCTTTGGATTACTACACAGCGACGTCTGACATTGCGCTTCGCAAGCACTGTGGCCAACCACCCGACTCACAGATGGACAAACTCTGTCGCTCATTGGCACCCTATGTGCAACCACCGTCAAAACGGAAGGAGAGCGCAAGGCCGACAAGCCAAGCGTTGGGATGACCACCTGACGAGTTACCTTCGAGTCCACCTCCCTGACCGACACCTGGTCACCCCGTAGAACTTTCGACATCTTCGCGACCCGAACGACATCAGATGGATGACGACAGCCGCCGACACCACATTTTGCTTGCAGTTCGAGGAGGGATTCATCGGAACACCAGCGCGGAACCGTTTGGGCTCCTACCGACTCCGCAGTCTGCATACGTCACACCGCCTGGCCCGCTGCTCGGCAAGCAGTGCTGGCTGGCCCGCTGCTGGTGAGCAGTGCTGGACACGCATCTTCGGCCTCTGCGCAGCCGGGGAAGCGTCCAGAAGAATTTGCAATCACCCCTAAGAAAAGTGCGTCAAAGCAGGCGCGAGTGGGGGACAGCCCACAGCGCCCCTTGCTGCAGAGCCCCACTGACGTGGCGCTGCGGCAGAAGAAGTTTGAAGACAATATGGCCGGAGCATGCGCTGACCCTCAGGCTCCAGTGACAATGGGGGGTATGAATGCGCTCTTTGATTCCTACCTTGTCCCGGTCGCAGAGTCAGTTCAACGCTTGAGCCAAGACTTGCAAGACTTCTGGCAAAAAGTGGACACTGGCATGGGGGATATCCGGGACGAGACGACGCAGCTCCAGGAGGACGTGGACATCTTTCTCAATGACTTCACGACGTTGGACAGGCAGATGGGGGACGACATCCTTCCGCGCATCGCCGACATCGAGAAGGGCATCGCCGAGATGAAGATGCATGCACGCACGCCGCGCTCCGCCACCTCAGCCGCGCCATCGTCGACACAGGGGCAGAACGATAACACGACGCTTGTTTTTTGGGGAATTGCCGCATAAAGCCGTAGCTGAGGCAGAACAATGCGTTGCTAAAATATTTCAGGAAGCTCACTGCGAACTCCCACTCAAAAGCTGGAAAAAAAGGCCCTCAGGAAGAACAGTTCAAGGGCATGTTGTCCTCGGAGTTCCAATCAGGGAAGGCATCTCTGGACGCCCTCCCGGCCCTCCAAGAGGCGCGCGGCAAGCGTGGCCCTCGGGAAGGCAACCGCCGGGCATGGTGCAGCGCGGATGCCCCCGCCGAGCAGCGTGCCATTACGTCATTGCTTCTCGGCCTCCGCCACCTGCTCACGCAGTGGAGCTTCGACAAAAAGTTCCTGAAGATCGACGACGACGCCGGGGTGCTTAAAGCTGGGGGCAAGGGAATACTTCAAGTAAAAGTTGTGGAAACGAAGCTCAAATTGGGTTGGCTGGATCCTTCTCGGGAGACGTGGGAGGATCTGCAGAACCCACCAGAATGGAAAGAGCTACAGCAGAAGAGACAACCGACAGGCTGGACAAGAGCGCGACCAGTCTGTCCAAAGGTGCGGGCAAAGGAAATCCCGCGAATTGACGCAGCCAGGGGCGCGCAGGAAGAGTTTCACCCTCAAGGAGCAACAGCCCCCATGAGAACAACAAGGTCATAATTCAATATTGCAACGTGGAACGTCACAGGCCTGGCAGTGGAGAAACTTATGGAAATTACGGTGCGCATGAAGAGCCTTGATATCCAAGTGCTTTGCTTGCAGGAAACACGAGCAACACAATCGTGCATCTATAACTTCAACGGGTATCTTGCGGCACTGTCAGGCGCAGAAGGGGACGGGCAAACGTACGCTGGAGTGGGGTTTGTTATATCAGAGAGAATCTGGGCACGAGTCCGCTCGTACAAGCAGGTCTCAGACAGACTCGCTTGGATCAGTATTCGCACGATGAATGGCATCTTTGGTGTTTTCTGCGTGCGCGCCCCTCCGGATCCGAAGCCTACCCCGGAAAAGCTTGCATTTTATTCTGACCTCGATGTTGAATGCAGGGCGCGGTCCGCAAATATGGGGAAAGTCGTGCTCGGGGACCTCTGTGCAAGAATGGGTTGCGCATGCAACGGAGAGGAGCGCGTTCTTGGGGATTTCGGTTAGGGGCGGAAGGCCGTGCAGCCAGTGGGCGCTCCGAACCGCGATCTGCTCATCGAATTTCGCGATGGGCTTGACTTGGTTGTCGCCCATTCGTTCTTCGACGCGCCGCTGGGGGAAACAAATGGCGTTTCTGGAGGCCGGCGCTACTTACAACGGGACCATTACAGAAGAGCAGCACAACATCCTGGATTTGCTTATGTGCGATGCCCGCGCATTTGCTCAAATGCGGGGTCTGTGAAGCCACAGGGGAATACCTCTTG